AACACACCTTGGTCACGCACAGCAATCACTGCCCAATCCAGGAGACGGACGGGGGAGGACAGTCCTACGGGGGGCGGAAGACGAGCAATTCGCACGGTCTGGGCACACCTTGGTCACGCGCTGCAGTTACTCTTCAACAGCTCCTCACCCGGTGGAGGTTCTTACCGTAGCAAGCTCCCCCAACGAGTGCCTCTCGCTCCGGCTGGCGGCCTTTTATAGTCTCGTCTCCGCTTACGGAGCGCGACGCGCGCGCGCCTCGCGCCCGCCGACGCCTGCGCCGCTCGCGTCGGTCTGCAGAACTTTCCATGATGCATGATCGGCCGGCGCTGTGGCGAATCGCGCCCGGCGCGACGCGTCACAACCCTTAAAGACAATGTCCTATTTAAAATAAAAATAATACCAACGTATTAGCCATTACAGAACACTAGTCTCCTAAAAACAATATTTCAGTATAGCTCTTTTTGATAAATTTTTAGTCGCTTATAGTGACACATTAAGACGGCGTACTATTAAATGTAAATTCCTTACAAAATTTGTAACAAAATCAATAATCTTGTAACACCCTTTGGCGGTTCTATCCAGGCTCAGAACGGTCAAAGTTTTCAATATCATTCGAGTAACCAGATTGACGAGTGTCATCATAATTTTAATCTCTCTCTCAAGTTCCGGCTGCGTATAACGGACAAAGAACTGAATTTAATTCAAACCGACGGGAATATTCTAGATAGCTTTGTGTTCTTGAAGCGTGAATAATACAAAGCGTTGGAAGGAATATGAGTAGAATTTCATGAAATGACTCGGTTCATAGTTTGAACAACTACACCGATAGAACTTCAACAGTTTTCAAAAGGATTGTTCAACTATCCACGCAATTTTGCTATCAGCCTTGTTGAGGAAATATCAAATATTATTACCATCGTCATCCATTCATTATACATTCTACTGAGCAAGAATGTTCTCTAAAGAAATAGCATACATTTCCCCTTAGAGGTATTGGAACTAAATATACACATATCTCATGGACTTATTTAGAGGTAAGCTAAGAAATGGTTGAATTGTAATAACTATGTCCATATGAATCATTGGCCACATATACAGGACGTTTAATTTGATAAAAGAATCACTTCAACCGTCTTTTGGTTTCAATTATATGTTCTGGTATATCTGGTCAAAGGTGAGGGTAATACACGTTTTATCATAATTCAACCTTTTCTCCCCGTTTCCCTAAATATCTCTTTGAGTACATTTAAGTAAATTAGAAATTAGAGCTGTTACACAGGGTGATTTTTAACAGCGATGCAAACGCGATGCAGTCGCTAATTTTTTTAGTTTAACTGCCTCTGTGGCCGAACGGTTACCATGCCGGACTGCCACGCAGAGGTCCCAGGTTCGATTCCCGGGCCGGGAGAAATATTTGTATGACCTACATTTGTTTCTCTCGTGAGTTTGGGTGTAATTTGTGGTTGTCTATATGTGTGTCCATGGCACCCGCGACACAGGGTTTCCCTAGTGCGGGGCTATGTTGAGTGTGTGTGTTATTATTATTATTATTATTACTAGAATCGTCTATATTTACACAGGCGCGACTGCATCGTACAAACGCGCGTTAGCATCGCTACACTTCGGATTTATAGGCGATCGCACGATGCAGTCGCGTGTTTGCATCGATACAATTGCCTATAAATTGCAAGTATAAATAATATAAGGTATAAGGCGCGTTTCAGTTTGCATCGCTGCTAGAATTCGCCGTGTGTAACCACTCTTACTGTGAAGCCAGATGAGCGTAATTTTAAAGATAAAGATCGATTTATTTATGGAAGTAGGTACAATAAGTTCATCAGATCAGTTCAATACATTAACAGTGCTACTAATAACAGTACTACAACCAGTTTCGTCGAAACATACAAATATAATTAGTGGTGGTCGCATAATGTACAAAATATTATAATTAAAAACTGTCAAAAACTAGTAAATATGTAAAGAAAAAATATAATAAAAATTAGTAAAAATTAACAATGTCAAAAATAAAGCGAAAAATCATGTTAATGTCAAACTTACATAATTTACATTTGTAAGCCTCCATAAACTATGCGCATGTCAAAAATGAATGAAAGTCAATAATAACATAAATTAGTCAAATACATCTGTAATCTTATGTAATCTTACCAGATATAAAAACAATTATAATTGGGCCCTAAACCCATCTCGTATTCATATAATCATTTATATTATAAAAACATTTATCAATTAAATACTGCTTACATTTTTTCTTAAACAAATTTACATGTAATTCACGGATAGATTTTGGGACTCTATTATATAATCTTGGCAGCATACAGAGCACACTTTTTGACATTTTGTGAGTTGCGTTTTTTTTGCGCTCGACCGAAATGCGGTTGGAGCGCCAGAAAAATGTATTTTATTCAGTTGCTTTTAAACGTTGTGTCGCAATAGTGTAATGGATCCATTAGAAATAGTATGCATTTATGAAACATTAAAAGACGATGTTCGAAAGAGAAATGGAAGCTGGGTACATCCACTCAATAAGAAACGATTAAAGTGTGGGCAGTCACTTAAATTTCTGCAATGTCGAATTAGTCTCCAAAACATTAAGGTAATAAATAAACAACAACTAAGCCTTTTTGTTATAATTTTGTTCATAGCCAGGTTTAATAACTCTTATTTTTATAAAATTTACCGGTTTTTAATCAGAATATTCAGTTGTTGTCCGGTTGGGCGCGACGGCGCAATCATGGCGTAGCAATTATGCCCTTGTAGCGGCGTGGTGTAGCGACCTCGTAGCTACGACCTACGAGCACTTGCACTTAATTCTTATGATTCTTTTTTTTTACATAGACGACAAAATTTTCACCAGTTAGGCAACTTCTTAGCATTCGAAATTATTACTCATGGTACAGGATATTCTTTACTTTGAGACTATGTAATTTGTTATTGTCTGACATGTTATTATTATTATTAACAAGGAAGAAAAAAATTGTGATGTTACAAATTAATTCTGGAATGTTAATGTAATAATGTAGACTTTACTCTGTTGGCGTGTCGTTAACAGTTCAACACCTTTTAAACCAGGTTACGACAATTTGACTTTATATGTTTATAATTGAAATTTCAATCAGTGTGCTGCCATCTAGCGGTTAATAGCTGAACGACGACGAATACGAGATGTTTACTTAGTTTTATAAAAAAGAAGAACAATGCCGTATTTTGCAATTTTGGAGTGCAAAAATGATAGTAGCACGTTTAGTCCGTGGTGATTTTATTTAATTGTAATAAATTTTTATTTAATTAAATTTTTATTGAATTGATATTCAATTATTTTTTGTGAAATTACTCCACTAGTTTGTTATAATTATTAATACAAAGATCGAACACTCAGAAAAAATTCCTTCGATCCGGTCGGATTCGTACCGACGTCTTCTTGCATACCGTGCCAGACGCTATACCAACTAAGCCACGGAACGAAACCAACGGACCTCACGAAGTTTTCTATGTGCTTGCGTCGTGTCTTTGTACTTGGTCTTTCAACGACTTTTTAGTCGTAGCGCCATCTATGAGAAATCTATGACAGATTTATCACCCAGAGAACTAAGTAAACTAACTGTCCGCTAGATGGCAGCACATTGATTGAAATTGCAATTTAAACTCAGAACGTCGTAAATTGCAATAGTATGTACTTAACTTTCAACGATGTGACAATAAGATAAAGTTTAAATTATGTTAACAGTTCATAATTTGTTATTTCTTTTTAAATTAGAAACTACTACCGATGATTAATATGGACGTCAAAAAGTGTCCGAACTTATAGGGCGTTAAAATCGTATACAGAGCGTCATTCACGCTTTAGTCTTCGTTTGTTCGACTGATAGCGAAGCAAGCAAAATTAGACAGTACTGCGATGACATTACAATTTAAATTCAACGTTTTAGCTTTTTCATATTCCTTTACATGTCACTACGTTTAAATACGTTGACTTGGGACATTTTTTTCATAGTTTTTGTATTAGACCCGTCGTCCATTTATTTGTAAGTCAATGTAAGCTTCCATTTTTATTATCGTTACTTTTGCTGACTTAGAATTTGCACAAGAAAATTACTGAATATAAATTAATCAATTATTTATATTTCTGACGGTTAAACAACACTCCTGGCAATAAATTTAAAGGTGGGTTAGCCGTTGTTTTAAAAAATATTGTCTTTAGGTGTAAACGATAGTCTTAATTGAGTAACTTGGTATTTATAATAATAATAAACAGGGAGGATGAAGTTTTATGTAAAAATACTGTAATTAATGCAACAAGAGCGGAGGTAGCTCAGTGAGTGTACAGTTGTTTCTTGATTGAGAAGTGGACTGTTCTAATCCCTATATTCAAACAACCTTTAAATATTCCACTCAGCAAGCGAAGAACCCAAAAATAGACTGCAACAAAAATAGACAGAAAACCAGGCTAGAAAGTGCTTCAGCATCACTTATCGCCGACGAAACACATAGATTTTAGAGATAATTTTAGTATTAGAATTTAAATCATTTATACGACGAAGGCTAAATATATAGACAATAGAATTTTGGTTCGGAACTACAAGGAGCGCGATTGAAAATGAAATTATAATTGACAGATTAGGAGTAGAAAAAATTATATTGCCACTGCCACGAGTTATAACATAAAATGTCTACTACCTAAACTTTTCTAGCACCCGGGCAAACAAACTAACACACACACACACACGCACGCTAATAATTATTTCATTTATGTGGTCTGTGATTATTTCCGTGGTGTGGAGGCCTGGAAGCTATAGCACAGGTTTCGTCGACCTACTTTAGATTCCAGCTTCCTTCCAGCTTCCAGCACAAACTATAATCAGCTACTACAACAGTATTAATGTATGTAACAAGAATTTTGTGCTTTGTGATGGTAGAAAATAAACTATTTTTCCATTTTAAGTTTACGTTAATCGTTTTAACGTATTTTTGTTTTATTTCAGATGCGAGGTGTGTCGCGATGTGCGGCGCTTTGTGCGCTTCTTGTCATCGCCTTAGCCGAATCCACTGAAGGTAGGACGATTTTTTTTTAAAACGTGCTTGATACGAGTTAATTTCCATACTATACAGCTATGTTAAAATAGAACACACTCATTAATTTCACGTGTTAAAGTTTTTTGTAAAATTTTTACAATTCTTCCATAAAAAAAAAATAATAAAATAATAAAAAAAAGTCAACCGTGACCATGGGACCTGTAAAGGGCCCGAAACGTCGGTTTGTTTGAAAAAACAAATATAAGCGATTTAAATCCGGAAAAATAGTTTCATTTCCTATAAAAAAAAAACTTAAGAAAGACACGTAATAATTGTACATATTGTATATCGCACACAAGGAATACTGTCTTAACTCAAAATTGTGGGACTGAGAAAACACGATTTGAAAATTCAAAAAATTACTGAATGAAACATTGACTTACAATTATATGGACGTCGGGTCCGCGCTAAAAAGTGTCCGAACTTATAGGGCATTAAAATCGTATACAGAGCGTCATTCGCGCTTTAGTCTTCGTTTGTTTGTAATATGAATCTTGTATTAATGTTGATTATCCGCTCACGCGATGCATGCAGCGGTAGACGCATACCACACCTAGAGGTGCCGGTGATGATTTTATACCGATTTATCGGATATCGAAGTTATAACAGGTAAAAGAACTAATACTAATTGCTATTTCGGTAACTACTCTAGCAAACCATAAAGTTTTTAATGCCTGGGTCTGTCATTTAAAAAAAATAAACAACTTCAAAAATACGTCACGACAATCGTGTGTGTTATTGTTTGGGCTGGTGATTTCGGTGTTTATTTATTGAAAACATACCGTAAGTAGCGTTTTTTAAGTTTACCCTGAATATAAATGTTTATAAACTATACTTTAAGGAGTAATTTCATGGTAAACGTTAGAACCACTCAAGCGGAATATTATCATATTTATCCAAGTACACCAAAAATTTCATTAGTGCTTTTTAAGTGCAGGATTTGCGGTGTATTACTGCATTTTATTTGAGATGTTTTTGTTGGTAGTACGGAGGGTATTTATTTAGCAATGCAGAATAATAATTTTTATTCATAAAAACTTGTATTTAAACTGAATCCTTTTCTATTTTGCGAAACCAAATAGCCGCCATTTTGCAGTAGGAGGAGCGCATCGCGTGAGCGGTAACAAATTTTCAAAAGCGCACATACATGATGGCGGTCAAACAGGAAGCATTGTGTAATCATAGAAAGTAACAAAATATATAGAACTAAGGTTTTCAAAACTCGTTACATATTACTTAATAATCCACGAGAACTAATATCTAACCCATTAATGAGACAAGCATTGAAGTTCGTTTGTCCCTCCCTCTTCCTCTATTGAATCAATAACTATTTAAGAGCTAAGCCGGTATCTAACGCCGCCATGCTGGCTAGCCTTTGGGAATTAACCATGGAGAAAGGCGAACTGATTAATTTAACAAAAAAGTGCTGCCAAAGAATACAACATAACGTTCTTGGGCTAAAACATGTATTTTAAGCCAAATGTTTTAAGGTCTAGGAAGAATTTTGCAGTACACACGTTTAACAATTCCTAATATTAGGGGTTAAAGTATGAAATTGCCGTTTTATTGCAATAGGTTCTTTGAATTTTCATAGAATCTTCATGGTTTGAGGTTTTCGAATGAAATTTTTTTTTTTAATTTGAAACATTTGAGTATCGACTTTCAATTGTTTTTGTTATTCAATTTAGACAAGAAAGATGGACACTGCGAAAATTCGAGTGATTTTTGAATACGAGTTCCGACGCGGAACTAACGCGGCAGAAACAGCCCGCAATATCAATGCTGCGTTTGGAGAGGGGTCTACTAATGAACGCACCGTGCGATTTTGGTTTAAACGCTTTCGTGATGGAAATTCGACTTAAAGAACGAGGCACGAGGAAGACATCGTTATTCACCTGTGTGGGCGACACAGGTGAATAACGATGAATTAAGAGAGATAGTGGAAGCCGATCCTAGTCAAACTACCCAGGAATTAGCGGCATGGTTTAACGTTACCTTACCCACAATATTGACTCACTTGCGTCAAATCAATAAAATAAAAAAATACGAAAAATGGGTGCCTCATGATTTGATTGATCTGCAGAAAGAAACGCGTGTTGAAACTTGTGTTGCCTTGTTGAACCGGTACAGAAATGAAGGAATATTGGATCGAATTGTAACATGTGATGAAAAGTGGATTCTTTATGATAACCGGAAAAGAAAAATGCAATGGCTGACCCCAGGTCAAATGCCACAACAGTGTCCTAAAGCAAAACTTACCAATAAAAAGGTAATGGTAACTGTTTGGTGGTCTCAGCATGGTGTTATTCACTATAGTTTTCTCGGATCTGGTCAAGCAATAACGGCAGATGTCTATTGTGCCGAACTCCGAACCATGTTGACAAAACTAGCAGTAAAACAGCCCCGACTCATGAATCGATCTTCACCATTATTGCTCCACGACAACGCGAGACCTCACACAGCACGAGAAACCATTTTGACCCTTCAGCAACTGCAGTTAGAAACCATTCGTCATCCTCCGTATTCACCAGACCTTGCTCCAACGGACTACCATTTTTTTCGTGATTTGGACAGTCTCTACTTTGGACAGTATCTACGTGACAAGAAGTTTTCTTCCCAGGAGGCAGTACAAAATGCTTTCACACAGTTTGTGCAGTCTAGATCGTCGGAGTTCTATCGCAAAGGCATTAATAACCTTCCCATTAGATGGCAGCAATATATAGATAATAATGGCAACTATTTTGATTAAATAAATTTGTTAAAAATTTAAAAAATAAACAATTTAGATTTTCAGTACAAATCGGCAATTTCATACTTTAACCCCTATTACTTACGATGTGTTTGTCGAAGACATATGAATTTTGCTAACGTTTCTTTTTACCAAAAGATGAGATAAAACGACAGTCCTCGTATTTCTTATAAAGGTAATGTATTTATTTTTTATAATACCAAGTGACGGAACGAACAATTCGTGCGCCTGGTGGTAAGCGACACGCCTGTCCGTAACAGTTGCAGTGCCACTCAGAGTACCTTGAGACATAAATTGACAAGTCCCATGTGCCTGTAATTTCACCGGCATCCTTACCCTTCAAAATGGGAACACAGTAATGCTGACATTACTGCACGGCGGCAGAAATAGGTCAGGTGGCAGTACTTTCCTGGACAACCTTTCACAAGGTGCTCTACTGCTGCTAAAACCACATCTTAATTGCGTGGCATTGAAAGACCATGCAGGCATCCGTTCATTCCTTCCTCGAAGATGCAAGCTGTGGAATGATCTTCCACCTGAAGTATTTCTAAAGTCAAATTCAAAGTGAAACAAAAGGAATAAATTATTGTTTCACTTAGAACACAGCGCAGTGAACGAGCAGTAGCTTAAAAAATCATTCTTTAAGTTACTGCTCGTTCACTGCGCTGACCTCCCTGAGAAGAACGAGCAAGAAGACTCTAGAGATTGCTCTTTTCAAATAAACTTAAATGCTATGGAATACACTTTGCATCAAATTTGTTTGGAATCTAGACCCATGCCGTCTTTCCATACGTCTTTATCTCACACGCACTCTTCATATTTATAATATGACTTTTCAATTAAATTGTATATTCCTTTGCGCTTTGACATGGGGTTCTTCAAAAAGCGTATTTACAAGGCTCTCAAAGGCTGGCAACGGATAAGCAGCTCATCTGACGTTGCAAATGACCATGGGCAACGATGACTACCTGCCATAAAGTGGCTCATCTGTCCGTTAGCCTCCTTCTTTACATAAAAAAATATACGCTTAATATAGAAGAAAAGAAACACCGCCCTCTGGGGTCTTGTGCCTAACGAGCTGATAACTTTAGGGATGATAATTTCCATGTAAGTTTACTTAATTATATGAACTCCGCTCAACTGGGAATCTGTTTACACTCCGTGTGCTTACACTACCATGAATTAATTTTAAACAGTAATTTCACGAACAAAACCATTTCTTGTTTTTGATACGCACACATGCCTGCCTCCCTCTGGCTTTGACTTTGAAATTCCACCCGCTACGCTCCCGATAAACCTCGTCGTTCTCCGGCTGTTCTAATTTATGAATTTAGATATTTATACAGACAATTTGTATGCTTTGTTTAAATAAATAAACATTTTATTCTTCGAAATAGGAAAAACACGATATAAGAAAAATTACAGGCATTTGAACTATTTATTTATGCTGTTGTTATTTATGCAATGTCAACAGCACAGACATTGGCCTTCTTATAACAAACAGCGTGTATATGCAGTCCATCGAGTATATAACCAAAAATAGAGACGAAATAAGGGCCATTCATCCCTGGCAACTTATCAGGTCAATAGGCCTTATATCACTTTTAAATATCAACTCTCGTTTGCGCTGAAATCACAAATTAGAAAACTGAACAAGTCCAATAACTGACCTGTGTGTGCGTCTCAATATATTCCAAAAATATTCTGTATTTATAGCAATAAAGATAATATCTCTAACTACGGTGGGCTGTTGCATTCGGAGGTGAGGGAAAAACATCAAAATATCTAATTACTAAACAAACGGAATCACGTTTCAAATATTCAGTAAATATGTAATTTTTACATTTTCTTCCATTATAGCAAAGCTCAAGTTAAACTGGTCGGTTTGAAGTAAAACAAATGACGACACCCGACAATTGTTTCGAATTCGGGCTGGCCAATCGGAGCGCAATTGTCATCGTAATGATATGGCAGAATAGTTTTCAAAGAAATTAAATGACATTTCGTCTCTGTTTCTGGTTATATACTCGATGATGCAGTCCAACATGAATACACGTTTGACATAAGTGTGACTATGAAGTTACACAATTATTGACAAGCAACCATATGGCAACCATGGACAAAAAATGCGATTCTTCATGGACTCTATTTTTTAACCGACTTCTGTATGTGCTTTTATATGTATGTTACGCGATAACTCCGGTATTTGTGAACCGATTTTCATGATTCT